CAGCTATGATCCCCTGAGGGCTGGGTGCGTCTTTGGCTCAGTAAAGCAGTCCTCTGCTCAGTCCTGCCCTGGGAGTCTGCTGGCTCTGCGCGTATTCTAGTCCCTGCACTCTGCCCAGGCCGCTACTGCTTCAGGGCTTCCCTTTACTCACAGGGCTTGTGCTTCTGTCTGAGATCCGTCTGCCAGTGGCTGCCACTGAAGAAGGTGCCTGGCTTCCTCTGGTTGCCCAGAGAGACAGAGCGTGTCTGTCTGTAATAGCCCAGGGGTGTGAGCCTTATTGTTTTTGCCCCTGCTGCTGCTGGTCTGTGTCTCTGGGTACTGTTGCTCCTGTATGGTTCCCTCTCAGTTGACCGTCCTCTCCTTACTCCCGTGCCACAGAATCAGCACAGACCAGCAATAGCCCCTGCCCCGTCCACACCTCTTGAGAAAATGCCTTAGAATCTGGACTCCATGGGGGACAGGCTTCCAGACCTCAGGGTGAGAGTGGAGGGGAGTGCTGGGAGTTCAGAATTGCAGGTAGAGAATAAATAGAGTTTTATACAGTTTTATGCCTCACAGGAGAGTGCCATGGCACCTTAGTAGGGGTAGGAGGTCCAGTTTTTAGAGGGTCTCTCCCATGGGATAGAATGGGAGGACATTTGATCGCTGCTCACTTGTTTGTATGGAGTTCACTGTATGCCCTTCTCATGGGGGAGGGGACTCCCATCCACTTGGTAATGGATTCTGTACCTTTTGTTTGTATCCTTGGGGTCGCAGCTTGCCTCAGCAGGGTTGATGTGTGTTTTCAACCTCCCCTCTTGGCTCAGCTCCAAACCATCAGCTTACTTGCTAAACTTCTATCTTTTAACTCTCCTTCTGGATGGGAGCCTCTGTGGAAAGCTGGCTGCAGTCTACGATCTTGCCTTCATCCCTCCCCCTCCCCAATTTATGTTTTTAATAGGCTTATCAAAGATCAAATGATGAGAAGTGGCTGGGTTCATCTCTTGGGTTCTTTATTCTATTCCATACATCTTCCTCTCTGTTTTTGTGCCAGTATCATGCTATTTAGATCACTATAGATTTATAGTATAGTCTGAAGTCTGATAGCGTGAATCCTCCTGATTTGTTTTTATTTCTGAGTAATGTCTTGGCTACTTGAGGTTTTTTCTGATTCCATATAAAACGAAGTACTATTTTTTCCGGATCTTTGAAGTATGACAGTCATGCTTTAATAGGGAGTGCATTAAATCTGTAGATTTCTTTGGGTAGTATGGCCATTTTAACAATGTTGACTCTTCCCAGCCATGAGCATGGTATATTTTTCCATTTGTTAACATCTTCAGCTATTTCTTTTTTCACAGTTTCATAATTCTCTTTGTAGAGATTTTTCATACCCTTTGTTAGGTAAATTCCCAAATATTTCATCTTCTTTGGCAGTACTGTAAAAGAAATAGAGTCCTTGAGTATTTTTTCAGCTTGACTATTGTTGGTATACATTAAAGCTACTGATTTGTAAGTATTGATTGGTTGTCATTTTTTCAAGTGTCCAGTGGATATTTTTAATCTTTTCACCATTATGGATGTTAGTTTTTGTTCAAGGCTTTCTGGTGAGTATACTTTGATGGTAGACCATTAAGCTGATCATTGTAGAGGATGGGTCTAAGACTATCTTAGAGAGCTGGTTTAGTCATGGCAAATTTCTTCAACATGTGTAAGGTGGTAAAGTATTTGATTTCTCCATTACAAATGAAATTCAGTTTAGCTGGATATGGTATCCTGGGCTGAAAGTTATTTTGTTTTAGGAGATTGAAGGTCAATGACCATCCTCTTCTGGCTTGAAGTTTTAGCTGAGATATCAGCAGTCATTCTAATATTCTTCTGTTGCTGTTCTTGGGGCTAACTGACCAGTCACGCAGATGAAGCACTGTGGATGAAATGAATGTTAATAAAAGGGAGACTGAGGCTCTACCTAGCACTCAGCAACTACCCAAGTTTATTGAACTTCTTATATACTTATCCATTGGAAGTTAGAAAATAGCAAAAAGAAGAGAAACAAAGTGAGGTATAGAAAACTGCCATAAAAAATTCCAAATCAGCACAAACTGCTGCTCAGCACATAGACATTTGATCTAAATAGAAAAAATTTTGCTTTAAGCTTAACCACAAAGTCTCTTCTGTCTGCACACTTCCTTGAGCTAAAACCAGTTACTATTGTGTAAGTGGGAGGAGAGGAACAAGGTACAGCCACCCTGTACCTCAAAAAGTGTTCCATCTCCAGCTGCAACCTGGCGAGGCCCTCCAGCATATTCTTTTCTGTGAACATTGTAACCTTCTGCTTTAATGCAGGACTGGGCTTGTTCCCAGAATAAAGAAAATCCTCCTTAGGGCCACGTTCCTTGGGGATCACATGAGACTAAACTACCATGTGTAAGCATGGGGGGGCTGTACCCCTTCATTCTTTGCCTTTTAGGTTATGATTTTCTTAGGTCTGGCTGTGTGCAGAATTTTCTCCTTCATATTAACTTTGGCAAACTTGATTACAATGTATCTAGGAGATGCTTTATTTGGATTGAGTCATGCTGGGGTTCTGAACTGTGTGCTGTCTAAATTTCTGTATCTCTTGCCACGCTTGGGAAATTCTCCTCCATTATATCTTGGAGTAGAGCATCAGCTCCTTCAGGGATTCCTATAAGGCAAATGTTTGCTCTTTTGGAGTCGTCCCACAATTCTCTCAGGGAGTGATCCGTTTTTGTTCTCCACTTCTCTGTCTCTTTGAGCATTTGGGAGCGTTCAAAAGCTTTGTCTTCAATGTTAGAGATCCTTTCTTCTGCCTGCTCCATTCTTTTACTGAGGGATTCTACTGTATTTCTCTTTCTTTGAGGTCTGCAATTTCTTTCCACATTATTTCTAAATCCTTGGAGATTTTGTCTTTGAATTCATTGATTTCTTGAGACACCTTTTGAACTGCTTCTTTAATTTCTAATTCCAACATTACTTCCATTTTATTAATCTTATTTGCCATCCATATTCTGAACTCTATTTCTGACATCTCAGCCATTTGTTTATGAATGGCATTTTCTGTGTGTCTCCTTTGTTGTTCCTTGGGGAGTTGATCTACTCTGATTATTCATGTTGCCAGAGTTTTTCTGCTGGTTCTGCCCCATGATTATTTTTCACAGTTTGGCTAGAGAAGCTGGTGAGGTGAATTTGTATTGAAGGCTCCGAGAGTTGTAGTTAACCAGTCCTTTACCAAAGAGCTGGGACTGGTGACTATGTCTTTTCCCCTACAGCTTTACAAACGTTCCTTTTAGTCCTGCAGCCTAAGGCTCTGGGGACCTCCTTGATGTGATGGGGCTAGGTGGCTCTGTCTTGTATTCAGCTACTCTCTCTCCAATCCTAGTGAATCAGTAGCTTTGAGCTGAAATCTCTACTGGGGAGAGATACAAACAACTAAGATACCCCATCCCCCACAGGCAACAACTGGAAGAGGAGAATCAGTCCCTCCACTACAACCCAACTAGGGCTCAACTTTGGAGGGTCCCTGGGTGGCCGGCCTAGGTTAAGAGTTCCAAACCAATTGTCTTGGGCAGCACAATTGCTATTCAAGAAGGAGAGTTCAAAAGGTCTCAAGCAACCAGACAGCAGGGGTCCATTGGCAGCTCAAGTGTGACTCACTTCTGTGTTCCATGGAGTCATAAGGGCCTGTCCAGCAAAAGCGTTAGTCCAGAGGGGTTGGTGCCTCCTCCCCGATTTTGCATCTCAGCCACGCCCAGTCACTGGTAATGCTGTGGGGCTGTGGCCCAGTTCTCTTCAATGAGCAAATGCTCCAGGGATTTGCGCCTGCCCGAGTCAAAGGGGAGTCAGTGCCTCCTCAGCAGGCCACTGCACTCTGCTACCAGCAGGCAGGGGAGTTAAAGCCTAACTCCCTCTGGTGCTCATTGGAAACTGATGAGTGTTCCACCTGAGTCCATTCCAAACTGGCAGTTAACGTTGCAGGGTGTGTTTTTTCTCCCTTAGAGACCGTACCTCTGCCCCAGCCGCACTCCTCCTCTGGTACCCCTGCAGGGCATGGTCTAGCTCCCTTCAGTGGTCCACAGAATTAGGGAGGTGTCTCTCCAAAATTTGACCCTAGCAGGGAGTGAGGCACTATTGCTGCTGGTGCAAGGCATGGTGCCACTGCATGGGTTCCCGCACCTCCGCCTGCTGCTGATACACACTTTCAAGGTACCAGGCCAGTCACCCTCCCCTCTGTGTCTCTCTCCACTTCTATTCAAGTCATAGTTTCAGCACAGTTGAGCCACAGCCCATGTAGTGCCCAGCCCTAGCAAGGACCCACCAGACACTCCAGCTCTGCGAGTGTGGGCTTCCAGACCTCCAGGCGAGGGGGAAGGATAGACTGAGAGTTCAGAATGGCAGGCAAAATATTTGTTCAACTTTTATGCTGGGCAACAGGATGCCCAGACTCACAGTGGGGTCCCTCTGGAGAAGGAGTCCTGGACTTCAGCGACTCTTTCCTGTGGGATAAAATAAGAGGTCTTCTGTTCTCTGCTTGCTTGTAGAGATCACACAGTGAGCCACTCTCTTGGGTGATGGGATGGACTCTCGTCCTCTTTGGGATGGGTTTTGTACCTGAAATTTGTTTCCTTGGAGTTTCAGCTTGCCTCAGCAGGTATTATGTGTACTTACCAATTTTCTCTTTCAGCTCAGCTCCCAACTTTCAGCTTTATTGGGTTCATTCTGACCATTACCTCTCCCTCTGGATGGGAGTGTCTGTTGAAAGCTGGCTCCAGTCATCCAGCCATCTTACCTCAGCCCCTAAAATGTGTGTTTCTTGAGAGCAAGTACCACCTTAATCATCTTTAAGTAGCCCAGCTCAGTAGTTTATTGAACGTAAAAGATGCTCAACAAGTGTACTACATAATGTAACAAAGATTCAGAATAACTTCTGTGAGCTATGTGTCAAAAAAAGATAAAATATGATAAAGTAGAAATTTTAAATGTTTTCTTCTTCAAAAAAATAGCAACTGAAGAATAGCTTGATGGAATTTGGAGAACCATGGAAAATGAATCCAGGAGATGGAGCATTTTATGGCCCTAAAGTAAGTAAAGCATATATTTCAAAAAAGTAAAATTTAAAATAAAAATAAACACTTCCTCTAAGGAAACATCATTTAATTTACAGATTGATATAAAAATCAAGGATGCCATTGGCAGATACCATCAATGTGCTACAATTCAGCTGGACTTCCAACTGCCAATTAGGTTTAATCTCACGTATGTTAGGTGAGTGATTAAATATGCTAAATAATGTACTAATATACTGATTATTAGTATTTGTTATTTAAGCATTAGCAATACTAAAATAAACTTTACCAGTGAGTGTCTAGTATATGTGCTGTGTGCTCAGTATATATTTGTTGACCTGTGCATAATCCACTGGGGGTTCTCAGAATACAGTCTAAGCATAAGATTATAGAGATGTGATCAAAGTATCATGAAAACATAATAGAGACTTGGCTCAGCGCCTGTAGCTCAGCAGCTAGGGTGCCAGCCACATACACCAGAGCTGGGCAGGTTCAAATCCAGGCTGGGCCTGCCAAACAACAATGACAACTACAACCAAAAAAAAAAAAAAATAGCCAGGCATTGTGGCAGGTGCCTGTAGTCCCAGCTACCTGGGAGGCTAAGGTAAGAGAATTGCTTAAGAGTTAGACTTTGCTGTGAGCTATGATGCCACCACTCTCTACCGAGGTCAACATAGTGAGACTCTGTCTCAAAAGAAAGCAAAAAACCAAAAAACAAAACATAATCCAGGCTGCTAACTCTCTCTTGGCATGTGGGGAGGACTTCACAAAATGCTGGCATTGTATTTGTCTTGAGGATGAGATGTTTGTCAGAAAAAGCAAAAGAAAAAGGCAATTCATTAGTGTAAATCAACAACATATTTATACAAAAATTTTTTAACACATAGAAAAACTGTGTGTGTGTACAGTCCAATGTGTTTTTAATACATGTATAGAGTGGTGTGACCACCTCCATAATTAGAGATTCTTTCTTTCCAACAAACCCCTTTGTGCTGCTACTTGGTAGTCACACTATCCTATCCCTAGCCCCTGGCAACCACTAATATGTTCCCCGTCACTCTAGTTTGCCTTTCAGAATATCCTATCAATGGAACCCTGCAGTATATGACTTGAGGAGACTGGCTTTTTTCACATGGTTTAATGCCTTGGAGATTCACGCATGTTTTTTTCATGTACCAATAGTTTATTTCTTTTTAGTGCTGACTACTAGGCCTATATATGGATGCACCTCAGTTTTCTTGGCTAATCTCATTTAACACTCATTTAAGAGCATTTGGGTTGCTTACAGTTTTTGGCGATTTTGAATAGAACTGTTATAAATATTAGTGTATAGGTTTTGTGTGAATATAAGTTTTTATTCCTTTAGGGTAAATACTTGGAAATGGGTCAGATGATAAGTGTATTAACTTTGTAGAAACTGCCGAATTGTTTTCTACAGCATCTGTACCATTTTGCATTCTCTCCAGCAATGTGAGAGAGTCCCAAATGTTCCATAATCTTGTCAGCTTTTGCATTGTCAGGTTTTGTTATTGAGCCACTCTAATAGGTGTGTATTTCATTATGTTTGATGTTTTCTTTTTTTAGTGCCTAATGATAACATCTTTTCATGTGTTTATTTGCTATTCACATATCTTCTTTGGTTAAGTGTTGGCTCAAGTTTATGCCCAGTTTTTAATTGGGTTGTTTTCTTACCATCGAGTTTTGAGAGTTCTCTATGCAGTCTAGATGCAAGCCCTTTGATGGGTATATGATTTGTAAATATTTTCTTCTAGTCTTTAGCTTGCTTTTTCATTTTGTATAACATTTTAACTTTCTCGTTCATCTTGAGTTTTCATTTCAGTGAAGTTCAGTTTATAATTTTTTTCTTTTATGAATCATGCTTTTGGCAACCCATCTATAAACTCTGCCTAAGCACAGGTCATGAAGATGTTTTTCTGTTTTATCTTAAAAGCCTTCCAGTTTAAAGTTTTATATTCAGATCTAAGATGAGTTAATTTTTTCTGTAAGATGTGCAGTTTAGGTCAGGGTTCAATGTTTGCATCTAGATGTCTAATTAGTGTAACATAATTTGTTAAGAATTTGTTCACTACTGTACCTTTGCCAAAAGTTATGTTTTTTTGACATGTGGATCTGTTTCTAGATTTTCAGTTCTGTTCTATTGGTCCATTGATTATCCCTTTGTCAATACTATGCTGTTCTAATTACTATAATTTTATAGTAAATCTTAAAATTAGGTAATAGAAGGGATTCACCATTCTAGATGCCTGTAAGAACATTCACGATTTATGGAAGGAGGGCAAAATATCAACATTAACAGAGTTTGAAAGAAGCTGATTCCAACCCTCATGGATGACTTCAAGGGGTTCAAAAATTCAGTGGAAGGTGCCTGCTTGGGCAGCACTTATACTAAAATTAGAATGAATGATACAGAGATTAGCATGGTCCCTGCACAAGGATGACATGCAAGTTCGTGACGTGTTCCATATTAACAAAAAAGTTCAGTGGAAGAAAACTACAGTTCTGGTAGAAATAGCAAGAGAACTAGAATTTAAAGAGGAGCTTGGAGATGTGACTGAACTGCTACAATCTTCTGATAAAACATGAGTGGGTGAGGAGTGGCTTCTATGGATGAGCAAAGAAAGTGGTTTCTCGAGATGTGATCTGGTAGAGATGTATGAACATTGTTGAAATGACAACAAAGGATTTAGAATATTACATAAACTTAGTTTTGTTTTCTTTTTTTTTTAAGACAAAGTCTCACTCTGTCACCCTGGGTAAAGTGCCAAGGTGATTGGATAAAATCAGAATTATTTTGGAAGTACAAGTTTTTAAAGAAAGAGATAAAATTATCACCAGGGTTGTTAAAATATCAAGAAAGTCAACAGAATAAAGTGGAGAACATTTTGAAAAATGAGATTTACAGTGGGGGAAGTGGGTAGTGACAGGCGTGGAGGGCAATGGGATTAAAACAGTTGGCCATGAGTTGACATTTTGTGATGCTGAGCGAGGACGTGGGATTTCATTATTACTATGCTCTCTACTTGTGTATCCTTAATAAATATTTTTTTTAATAAAGGAAAAAAGATTAGCAAGCAAAGCAGTCTTTTGAGAAAACAAGACACAAAATAAAGGAGAGATCTCTAAAACCACTAGTCTAAATCCATAGGCAAAATTAAATATAAGGTAAGAAAATAGCTATTACTGAATCTCAGGAAAGTACTTCAATATCTAATTTTCATTTTTTAGTAAGGATGGAAATGATAAGAAGAGACCTGTAATCATTCATCGAGCCATCTTGGGGTCAGTGGAAAGAATGATAGCCATTCTTTCAGAAAACTATGGGGGGAAATGGTAAGTGATATGCAAAAGAAAAGCTATATGTCTGTTGTTCTTAAAAGCCATATCTAACAAGATAAAATACTGGGGAAAAATGGCAGTCCCTGCCTCATAATTAGCAAGAATCTAAACAGCAAATATGGAATTCTTATTCTATTTGCCAGATCAGGAAACAAAAACATAGAAAACAAAGGCAGAATGGCATAAAACTGTACCGTTTATCTTTTGGGGGACTCAGAAAGTTAAAGTTATCCTTTCGCCTATTTCAAGCCCTTCAAAGATCTAGTTTGCTATCTGAAAAACTTGAAGCCTGCACTCCTAGATACCATTCCTTCTACCCTGTCCTTCCTTCAACCCATATTGTTTATCTTCAGGGTTCCCGGTGACCACTGAGGAGGAAAACATATAAATATGATCCATGAATGGACTGGACAGTGCACTGCACAAACCCAGAGAGGATGGCCACAGCCCATGGAGGGTGACAGGGAGGGAATGCCCTTGAGAGCAGAATTTTGAGTGGTGCCTCTTGTAGTCCTCTTTGCCAAAAATGAAAACAGTCCAGAGGGATAGCATTACATTGATCCACAAGATCTGGGTATTGCTTTGGTCACAAGGTCAGATATTTAGAAGTAATTAGATCAAAAAAGGAATTTCATAGATTTGAGGAAGGAAGGGAATGATGCTCAGCATGGGCCATGAAGGTGATATTGCCACCAAGAAACCCTCACTGTTGAGGAATTTCTCAGTATTCACATACAAGAGAACCCATTCTGTTAAAATTAGCTTCTTTTCCCCCTCTACTGATGGCTCAGTGGTTCATGAACAGAGTGGCCATCAGAGCATATATGTGGGCTCAACAACATGGACCTTCCCTGACAAGGTTCCATCTGGCTGTGTTCTGAGGACTCAACTTGTAATGAGTGGCAGTTAATTCTGACTCTCCACTGTGCTACCATAACCCAGAGGAACAGTCGGCTATTTTGTGGCAGGTTGATTCTATTGGTTCCCCTTCATTATGCAAGTGCCAGTGATTTGTTCTCCCTAGGAAAGACCGCCTCTGGGTTTTGCTTTCCTCTTCTCCGCCATGCTTCTGCCCGCAGCACTGTGTGTATACTTAATAAGCCTCATCTGCTGTCAGCAACAGTGAGGTCTCTGACTTTGAAAGTATTAATAATTTTATAGCAAGAAGTAAGGCACCTAGCTGACATTGGAGGATTCAGAAAACTATCATCTCAGAAGCAACTGGCCTTACTAGCAGTTACAGCACCAGGTGGCAGGAACAGTTTGTGATGAGGCATCCTGTATCACAATTCTGCAGTGGAAATGCTGGGAACCAGCCACCACTTGGGGACATTTTGCCTTCCCTTCCGTTTTGAAGACGTTGACAGTGCATCTGCTCATGCAGTTTTCTGTCTTCAGAATTCACTGCCCCACTGCTGCTACTGCTGGGCACGTCCCTGCAGCCCTCTGTGGACCAGGCCCTGGCTGCTACCGCTGGGGTCACAGCCACAGGCTCTGAAAGCTCCGTATCTTGGTGTCACGCTTCTTTGTCAGAATGGATTCCGTATGGTGTCCCTTTCTGTGTGCCTTCAGTCACCATGCTGTGTTTCTCTGTTTGGCAGACACATACTAGCTAGATCACACACTAGCATTCTAGCATTCATGTCTGGGGAGGCTGAGGGAGATTTCTGAGAAGGAAACCTAAGTTGGGAATTTTCCCAAACAGGATTTTCCAAAGGTCCTCAGTAGCTAAAGAGCTAAGATTCTAAGCCATTCAAGTTACAGATAAGCCAAAAGCATAGGTTTGAATATATATGCCACCGAAGTATGAGTTAACATATGTATATTTCTTTCCAGTTGGCTCTGTTTTAAATACTTTAGTACAGATGAGAACTGGTGCCGTTTTGCACTAGAATGATAGTGAAAATGGTAAAAAACTAAAGAGAACTAGTGGAATCAAGAGTTGGAGAGGGAAATGGGAGGTGGTGCCAGTGCACTGAGTCCGTCATTGCAGGACTCAGGCAGCCTCCCTGCACCTTGAACATCCAGACTTCAGACACCGGCCAGGCTTGTGGGGAAATCAGACACCAGCCAGGCTTGTGGGGAAATCTCCCCAACAGCCCAAACTAGAAATGGTTAAAATGTGGCCAAATTGGGGAAGTAGGAATAGGGATGGGGTGAGGACAGAGCTCAAAAAGAAACATTTACTTTTCATTATATACACTGTATTTCTGTGTTTTATCATGTGTATTATTACTTTTTTTTTTTTTTTTTTAAAGACAGGGTCTTGGCCTGTCTCCCAGGCTGGAGTGCAAAGGTGCAATCATAGCTCATTCTAACCTCACACTCCTGGGCTCAAGCAAAATAGTATTACTTTTATAAGATTTTGTTTGTTTGTTTGTTTGAGACAGAGTCTTACTTTGTCACCCTCAGCCTCCCCAGACATGAATGCTAGAATGCTAGTGTGTGATCTAGCTGGGTAAAGTGCTGTGGTGTCTACCTCAAAGTCTTGGGCTTAAGCAGTCTTCCTGCCTCAGACTTGCAAGTAGCTGGGACTACAGGTGCCTGCCACAACTTCCTGCTGATTTTTCTGTTTTTAGTAGAGACGGGATCTTGCTCTTGTTCAGGTTGGTCTAGAACTCTTGAGTTCAAGCAGTTTACCTGCCTCGGCTCCCAGAGTGCTGAGATTACAGGTGTGAGCCACTGCACCTGGCTGTATTGCTTTGTTTTTGTAATTTAAGAAATATAAAATGCCTATTGCCGTTCCTTCCACTTTCAAACTAAAACTCTCAGGATGACAGGGGAAAAGGCAAACATGTCCCATATCAAACATTGCTTATCCCCACACTCTACCTTTTTAAAAAGAAATTATATTTAACTTATATTTTGAGATAATTGTAGGTTCATGTGGAGTTGTAAGAAATTATACAGAGTTCCAGCCTAACTTTTACCCAGTTTTCCCCAATAGTAACATCTATATACATTATCACAACCAAGAAGTAGATACTGATACAAACCAGCAAACTTGCTCACCGGTTTCACATGCACTTGTGTGTGTGTGTTTGTACTTAGTTCTACAAAACTGTATCACACAGAGTTGCAGAACCACCTCCGGTGAGGGTATAGGACAGTCCTCTCACTCATAGGCTCCCTCGTGCTGCCCTTTTATTGCCACAGTTGCCAGGTCCCACTCTGCTTATCTGACCACCACGAATCTCTTCTCTACTCCTTCATTTTGTCTTCTCAAGAATGTTACAAAATGGATCATACCATACACAGCCTTTTGAGATAGGCATTTTTGCACCCAGCAGAATCTTCCTCAGTGTTGTCTGTGTTGTTGCAGGTATCAGTGGTCGGCCCCTTCCCTTTGCTGATGGTGTTCCATGGTGTGAGTGTGCCACAGTGTAACCAGTTCTGGGCTACTGTAAAGCTGCTAGGAACATGATTTTGTATGAATGTACATTTTTATTTCTTTGAGATAAAGTCCCAGGAGTGCAATTTGCTCAGTCATATGGTAAGTTCATGGTTAGCACTTCTGGCTGTTTACCCTTTTCCCACCAAATTCTAAATTTCTCCTTTTGTCTACTCTACTACCTTCAAATTCTTAATATAGTTTGGTTTTCTTTCACACCACTCTACTGACACTACTTTTTTGAGAAGTCTTTAAAAAAAACCTTTAGTGGGTGGCATCTGTGGCTCAAAGGAGTAGGGTGCCGGCCCCATATGCCAGAGGTGGTGGGTTCAAACCCAGCCATGGCCAAAAACTGCAAAAAAAAGAAAAAAAAAATCTTCAGTTACTGTAGTCCCAGCTACTTGGGAGGCTGAGGCAAGAGAATCACTTGAGCCCAAGAGCTTGAGGTTGCTGCGCTGTGACACCACAGCTCTACTGAGGGCAACATAGTAGGACTGTGGCTCAAAAAATAAAAGAACTTTAGTTATTTTTAAATCAGATAATAAGTCGTCATTGTTAGATTCTGAAATACATGTTTTATATCTTTTTCAGGCCTTTCTGGCTTTCTCCTCGTCAAGTAATGGTCATCCCTGTGGGGCCAACTTGTGAAGAATATGCACTTCAGGTACCATCAGGGACATTTAAGTCCATAAGAACAGTGCATGTATTCTACGTAGGTCATTGGCTTGGATGTTGTTCATGCTTTAAAACATTGTATAACTAACACATTAACTTAACAAACCATGTTTTCAGGAATTGACAGTAACATAAGAGTCATGTGTGTATAGCCATTTCTAGTTTGGGCTGTTGGGGAGATTCCCCCACAAGCCTGGCCGGTGTCTGAAGGTCTGGATGTTCAAGGTGCAGGGAGCCTACCTGAGAACACTGATGGACAGGATTTCGTATGAACATTATTCCTTAACTTTTATGAGAAATTGGTATTTTAAAATATCTCATAATTATTCTTTAGCATATGGCTCTGTTAGGAAAGAAGTTTTTTCCATCCATTGCCACATCAAAAATTGTCTTAGCAACTTGAAACAACAAACAGTTTTTATCTCATGGTCTCTATGAATCAGGGATCTAACAGCAGATCAGCTGGCTGATTCTGCCACACGCTCAGGAGGCTGCAGTCAGGCTGTGGGCTTGGGCTCCTGTCCTGGGGCTCACTGCATAGTTGGTGGGGGCTCTGGCTCCTCACTAATTGGGTTTCCTCTTAGGTTGCCTGAATGTGCTCACAGCATGGCAGCCAATTTCCTCAGAGCAAGCAATCCAAGAGAGATGGGAGCTGCAGTTGTTTGTAAACTAGTCTCAGAAGTGATACGCCATCACTTCTGCCTTCTTTGCAGCCACAGGCTAACTGGTACAGCATGGTGGGAACTATGCAAAGGTGTGAATAACAACAGATGGGGAATATTGTGGGTTGCTGTGGAGGCTGGCCACCATAAATAATGTAAAAATTTATGTTTCATTTTTTTCCAGGTGTCCAGTGAATTTTTTGAAGAAGGATTGATGGCTGATGTTGATTTAGATCATAGTTGTACACTAAATAAGAAAATACGAAATGCACAGCTGGCTCAGTATAATTTTATTTTGGGTAATTTAAGTTTGTATATACTTTTCCAAATGTTTTTTTTCCCTCATTAATTCCAAAAAAACAAAATAAGGAATATGGTACAACTACTTGATTACTAATCTGATTGTTTAGTACACACCACGAAGGGTCCATGGAGTTCCTGCATTAGCTGTTCCTCATACTCTTTATTATCTGTTGGAGGAAGAGTTGTGAAGTTTCACATGAATTTCATGGTATAGTATTATTAGCAATAGTTAATGTTGTAAAAAAAAATGGAAAAAATGTGAAAATAATCCCATCAGTAGAATTATACTCCTTATGCTTCAGCCTGACAGGACTAAAATATTTTGTCTTGCTCTTCTGGTTTATTAGGAATCTTTGGGATTAATCTATGGATGAAAAAACTCCACACTTAAAATGATTAAAATAAAAGGATTTAGTTGGAAAATAAAATGTCCTTGAGGTAAATGGAGTAATTGATACAGAATCTAAAATTTTGGCTTTAAAAATTATTTCAAAATCAAGAGAGACTTGACTTTAGTATGATCCACTTATGGATAATGCTATCTCCTATAAGCTTAAGGAGTCTGTAAAAGGCAAAATAAATATACAGAGAGAATTGTCCTATTGCCAGTTTTTTATTGATAATGCAGGCATTTCAATCAGCCTTCTTGTGGTGACAGAAATCTCAAGATCACTTAGACAAAGGCAGTATTTACTGGAAGGGTCCTAGAGTATCCCGTGACGTGAAGCGTGGAATTGAATGAGCCAAATCATTAGAAGAGAAGCCAAGAGCCCAACCCCAACCAGGACTGCTTCTCCCTGTTTTTAGTTCCTGTTTCACTCTGGTTCCTATGCTTCTCTTGAATACCTACTTTATTCCTCTTATCTGAGGACCAATTTCTTCCTTTTGCACGGCTAGAAACATATTTGCAGATTTCTGCACCATCTCACAATATGAGTCACTACAGAAAACAAATTTTTACCCACATTCCAGAAAATTCTGGTTGGCTGGCATGGTTCTGGTATCCACCCCTTGACTCGTCAAGTCTGCCAGGTGGACTCCGGGTCTGTAAGAGCTCCCTGCTACCCTCTGTACCCCAAGACCACAGTAGCTGTTCTCTCAAAAGGAAAACAGAGAAGTGGGATTAGAAATCATTCCTTCCCACAAGAAGCTTATCCCTAATGGTCATTAGCTTGGCATTTAGTGATTTATACTGAAGAAAAACTCAGGAACATGTGTCATGTGACTTCTGACTTAATGTTTAATAAATTATTACATTATTTCCCTTTTTACAGTGGTTGGAGAAAAGGAAAAGATAAATAATGCTGTAAATGTTCGAACAAGAGACAACAAAATTCATGGAGAGATTTCAGTAATTTCTGCTATTGATAAATTGAAGAATCTCAAGAAATCACGTACACTAAATGCTGAGGAAGACTTCTGAAGTCCTTTCCTTGTACTTGCCTCTGTGTAACTTTGTTGTGACCCTCACCCAGTTAACATATTAGTGCTTTTCAGAACAGTAGACCCACTGATGGGCCCACCCATGCACTCAGTTGAGAAAGGAGACAGTGAATGGGTAGCTTATCTGTCCAAGTTTAATTCACTGTTGTACTCTGGGGACAATTAGAGGGCAAGTGTGGGACACTGTCAAGCAGTCAACACCTTGACAGACTTAAATGGGGAAATGTTATTCATCAAAAGAGGAAACACTAGGAAATGAGAATTATAAAATGTCATGGGTCAGATTTGTGATTTTCAGAAGGTGGGCTTTCAAATAAAAGTTTGCCGAATTTTTTTGAACATGGGGAATCTTATTTTATAATACTGTCTCAGGTATTTTTATGACCGTTACCCTTAATTTCACATTGAAACTTTATCTTCAACGTTGGAATTGTTACTTAATTTTAACTAAACCACAAAAGCAGCAGCTAGTACTAAATACTGGATCATGACAAAAGACTGAACATCAAAGAAACTCAGTGTAGTGAAAGCTGTTGTTTGCAATATGGGTTAAGAGGTGCCCTTGTAATGCTCTAATTCATAACTGAGCCTTGTTCACCTGGAGAAAAAATAAAATGCATCATAGTGTTTCCAGTGTGTCAGCTCTGGGCTTCTACCACGGTAATATTGAAATTACTTTTTTTTTAGAGATTGAGTCTTTACTTTGTCACCCTCGATAGAGTGCAGTGTGTCACAGCTCACAGCAATTTCCAGCTCTTGGGCTTAGGTGATTCTCTTGCCTCAGCCTCCCAGTAGCTGGGACTACAGGCGGTGGCCACAACACACGGCTCTTTTTTTTGTTGTTGCAATTTGACCTGGGCCGGGTTCGAACCCACCACCCTCGCTATATAGGGCCAGTGCCCTACCCACTGAATCACAGGCACTGCCCTGAAATTACTTTTTTGATGGAATAACATCCCATCAAAAAAGTAATAGACTCAAATGGATTTATAGACTCAAATGGATTTCAGATAGTTTTGTTTAATTTCTGGTACTAATGTCTACTCCCATGGATTCCAGATTTTAACCAGGAGGAACCCCTTGGTCAGAACTGAATTAAAATGGCTTTCAGTCAGTAGAGAATTCAGCTACCTGTCAAGAAGTATTTATTGTTTATTTGGCTAAGTGCTATACAATTCAAAATAAATGCTAAGAAATGATCTCTTTTCAACATACTGATCATTTAGTTAGCTTCTTGAAGGATGTGAACAAGAAACAGCAGGCAAACGGAACGGTTACATTTCAGACCTGTGTAGTTGTATAAATTGCAGATTATGTGATAAACTTTTCCTTTCTTATTTTGGGGGTGGGGGGGACAGAGTCTCACCTGGGTGGGGTGCCATCGTGTCCCAGCTCACAGGAACCTCAAACTCTTGGGCTTAAGACATTCTCTTGCCTCAGCCTACCAAGGCGCCAGTCACAATGCCCGGCTATTTTTTGTTGTAGTTGTCGTCCCAGGCCGGGTTCGAACCCGCCAACTTCGGTGTATGTGGCTGGTGCCGTAAGCACTGTGTAACGGGCGCCGAGCCTGTGATACAGGTTTTAAAACTGACATTTGATGGAGGCTTACCGTCTGACAGGCACTACTCCTGTATTTTTGTTTTTTCATTCATCAAACGCGCACGAGAGGGAATGGGTAGCAGGAGACCTCATAATGAATGAGCTCGCACAGGTAGGTGGGAAGAAAAGCTTGTCAACAGCTGGGTTCAAAGATGCCCTTAAAGGAGCAGGAGCAGGTGGCCGTGAGCTGCAGGTCAGCTTCTGTCCCCAAGGCCAGCCTTCTCCACGGAGGGCTGTGCTGCGGACCCTCCCTCCACATCCCAGCACCCAGCTGTGGTCCTGCTGCCTCAGAGCCTGCCCTGCTTCTCTTAGTCTCAGTGAACTTTCTGGAAGCACCGGAATATTTCAGTAGTCACCCCAGGGTGAAACCTAGGGCAGGCCTCCAGCCCTGGATCCAGAGGCGCTGGTCCCTAGGGCCACCTGTCACACCTTGGGGCCTCAGTGTCCTCATCTTAAATAAGTACCTTTAAAGTTCGAAATGAGACCCGGTGATGCCATTGGAACTTTTGCATAGTGCCTTGCACGCAAAAACAATTTTTTATCTCTAAATATATATATTCAGACACAAACAGTGGTAGCCAGCTTCTCAAATTTGCCTGCGTCTGCAGGCAGAGGTGCGCTTGAGAACTAAGCAACCTCACAGGGTCGCATTCCGCTCCAGTACCGGTCCGCGGAACCGAAGCTGGGAAACGCACTGACCTCCCCGGTCCGGCCCCGGGCCTGGGACGTAGCCCCTTCCCGGTCCGCCCACGGCGCGTCCCGGGACCCCGCCCCCGAGGACCCCGCCCCTTGGCCCGGAAATGCTCGCGCCGGCAAAATGGCGGCTGCGGCAGGCTGGTTGCGGATTCTACCCCGCCTGTACCGTGCGCTGCTTTTCCTCTCGCAGTTCTGCATCTTGTTGGGCGACGGTGAGTTAAAGGCCGGGACCCGCGCCGGCTTGTGCTGAGTCGCCGGAGCATCCCTGAGGCTGCAGGAGGTGGCAGAGGCTGATGGGGGAGGAGGCTGCGTGGCGGGCTCCGGGGGACGAGTCGCTGCGTCCGGGGACTGCGCGCCCTGGCCACCCGGCCCGAGCCCCCTCGGCTCGGCGACACCGAGTCGCCCAGCCCGGCTTCAGAAGCCTCGAGCGGAGGTGGAGCGCCGGGGCCGCGGTGCGGGCCGCGGCACTGGAGCCCGACACCCCCCTTGGTTTCCTACTTGCTCACGGACCTGAATAGTCGTCGACCCATCGGCCTTTCGTCTTTCAGTTTTCTGTTTCTAGCAGTCAAGCCGTGAGGTTTTCAGGAGCATTATTGCTCTGGGGTAGACCCTGCGTGTTAATCGCACAAAGCGAGGGTTCATTGCCCGGGATAACACGCTTCTCTAATTGCGGGATCCTTGCTTTAGAGCGTTGGCAGCCGCTGGCTCAGTCAGTGAAGGATCCGGCCCAGTATGTACGTTCACAGTGGTTCCCAGGGCAGGCGTTAGGTATCGTCTAGTAAACATACACATCTATATCTAGAATTTTCTTCGTTGACAAAATTTCTCGTAGTGTACGAAGTCATTTTCCGTTTTCGAATACTTTGTTTATTGTATTTTAAATTTTGTGGATTAAAGCTGATAAACAGCCATTTTCAGTAGTCACTCTAGGGACAGTGTTTGAATACTTTTTTGACCTTTTTAAGTTTCTAATCTTCTCTTTTTTTCAGTCCCATGTCCCCCCTTTCTATCTCATTTCTATGCACTTCATCCATCAGTATAACCTTCAACCAATGCTGCTTTCCCTTTAGAAAGTTTCTTCTACTTCTAGAACCCTGTTCCTGATGTTGGATGTTAAAGGCTCCCCCAAGGCTCTGTGAAATGGAAGGATCCCAGGGGAACTGAGAACATTTCATGGTCACTTGGGAAGCAGGGAGGAAATGCTTTTATGAGTGTGGTGCTTACCAGGATGGCAGCAGAACCCAGCTTTAACTGCAGGTGTCTCTGACTCCAGTTCTTTGGTTTTCCCATTCCAGTGTAGCACCTCATTGCTAATGATCATGTCTCTTCACTGTGGAAAATTATCTTCTGTAATTCTGATTAGTATTATAAGGGAATAAGTGTCTCTCTTACCCCTTGCAGAAAGTACTGAAATCCCACCTTATGTGATGAAATGTCCAAGCAATGGTTTGTGTAGCAGACTTCCTGCGGACTGTGTAGACTGTGCAACAAATTTCTCCTGTATTTATGGGAAGCCTGTCACTTTTGACTGTACAGTGAAACCATCTGTTACCTGTGTTGTAAGTAATGCACTTACTCTAAATAAATTTGTTGTAAACTTTGAGTTAAAAGTGCAGTTTAGACTTGACTATTGGGGGAAAGAGTCTGAAATGATTTTTATATTCTGTACTGCTATGTTGAATATGTAAGAAATAAAAATTCTTTTGTCCCTTTCATATCAAATGATGATTACTGTCAAGCCAATTGATGTTAGCTGGAAAGGCGCTTGACAGAAACGTTTTGTAGGACTTGGAGAAGATCTCAGCCTGATAGTGTAATATGAATCAGGTATAATTCATTTATATGGGTTTTGTGTTCTTAGTAGTGACAGCTAGTGTGCAGAGGAGATGGTAGCATCTTTTTATCATAAATGAGATTTTTGAAGGGGTCAGTACCTATCTGTGGTGAGAAAATGGATTCAATAAGTGCTAGGATTCCTGGGTAGTTCTCTGGAAAAAAATTCTCTGGAATCCCTGTCTAGGTAGACCATATATATAATATAAGAAATAAGACCTTGAAGTACCAGAGAAAACATGGTAGTTTTTGTAATGATTCTAAAATGTGGAATATTTTTCTAAGTATGAGATAAAATTTAGAAGCTATAAAAGAAATAATTGATACTATTGACTTAAAAATTAGAGCTTTCTGCATGACCTTAAAACATAAAGGCAAAAAAAAAATGACAAACTAGGAAAAAATATTTCTAACATATATGGCAAATAATACACTAATCTCTATAACATGTAAAGACTTCTTAAAAGCCAGTGAGAAAAAGATGATAGTCTTTTTGGGGGCCGGTGCCTGTGGCTCAAAAAGAGTACGGCGCTGGCTCCATATACTGGAGATGGTGGGTTCTAACCCAGCCCCAGCCAAAAAAAAGAAAAAAAAAAGATGATAGTCTTTCAGAAAAATGGTATTAGGACATGAACATATGGTTTATGGGAAAGAAAATACAAATAGACTTTTATAACATGAAAAAATGTATTAATCAGGTTGGCAAAAAAACTTTGTTACAACACTGAGTTTGTGGGGGCATCAGGGTCAGATCTTAATAGTGGGTAGGCAAATTGGTCAGCCTCTTATAGGCAGTTTGTCACATCTGTCAAATTTATAAATGTACATAGTCTTTGATCTAGGAACTTCATATCTAGGAAATTATGTTACATATATTATTGTACATGGATCAGATTAACATGCATCAGGATATTTTATTTTTCTTTAATTTTTTGTTGGAGATTCATTGAGTGTACAAGAAACCAGGTTACACTGATTGCATTTGTTAGGTAAAGTCCCTCTTACAATCGTGTCTTGCCCCCAAAAGGTGTGCCACACACCAAGAGCCCACCCCCCCTTCCCTCTCTTTACTCTTCCTTTCCCCCATCCCTCCCTCCTTCTTTCTCTCTCTGCTCTCCCCTTCCCCCACCCCCATGTCATTAATTGTCACTAATTGTCCTCATATCAAAATTGAGTACATAGGCTTCATGCTTCTCCATTCTTGTGATGCTTTACTAAGAGTAATGTGATCCACTTCCATCCAGGTTAATACAAAGGCTGTAAAGTCTCCATCTTTTTTTAGTGGCTGAATAGTATTCCATGGTGTACATATACCACAGCTTGTTAATCCATTCCTGGGTTGGTGGGCATTTAGGCTGTTTACACATTTTGGTGATTGTAAATTGAGCTACAGTAAACAGTCTAGTGCAAGTGTCCTTATGATAAAAGGATTTTTTTCCTTCTGGGTAGATGCCCAGGAATGGATTGCAGGATCAAATGGAAGGTCTAGCTTGAGTTCTGTGAGGGTTCTCCATACTTCCTTCCAAAAAGGTTGTATTAGTTTGCAGTCCCACCAGCACTGTAAAAGTGTTCCCTTCTCTCCACATCCACCCCAGCATCCGCAGTTTTGAGATTTTGTGATGTGGGCCATTCTCGCTGGGGTTAGATGGTATCTCAGAGTGGTTTTGATTTGTATTTCTCTAATAATTAGGGATGATGAGCATTTTTTCATTGCTAGCCATTCATCTATCTTCTTTAGAGAAGGTTCTATTCATGTCTCCTGACCATTGATATATGGGATTGTTGGCTTTTTTCATGTGGATTAATTTGAGTTCTCTATAGATCCTAGTTATCAAGCTTCTGTCTGATTCAAAATATGCAAATATCCTTTCCCATAGTGTGGGTTGTCTGTTTGCTTTGGCTGTACAGAAGCTTTTCAGTTTAAGTCCACTTGTTTATTTTTGTTGTTACTGCAATTGCCACGGCAGTCTTCTTCATGAAGTCTTTCCCCAGGCCAGTATCTTCCAGCATTTTTCCTATACTTTCTTTGAGGATTTTTATAATTTCATGCCTTAAATTTAAGTCCTTTATCCATCTTGAATCAATTTTTGTGAGTGGGAAAAGATGTGGGTCCAGTTTCAGTCTTTTACATGTGAATATCCAGTTCTCCCAGCACCATTTATTGAATAGGAGTCTTTCCCCTAAGGTATGTTCTTGTTTGGTTTATCAAAGATTAGGTGGTTATAAGATGTTAGTTTCATTTCCTGGCTTTTTATTTGATTCCAAATGTCTATGTCTCTGTTTTTGTGCCAGTACCATGCTGTCTTGACCACTATGGCTTTGAAGTACAGACTGAAATCTGGTATGGTGATGCCCCCAGCTTTGTTTTTATTACTAATAACTGCATTAGCTATACAGGTTTTTTTTCTGGTTCCCTATAAAATGCACAATCCTTTATTCCAGTTCTTGAAAGTACGATGTTGGTATCTTATTGGTATCTTAATAGGGATGGCATTAGAATTGGTGGATTGCTTTTGGAAGTATAGACATTTTAACAATGTTGATTCTTCCCAGTCGTGAGCATGGCGTGTTCTTCCTTTTGTTAATATCCTCTGCTATTTCCTTTCTTAGGATTTTATAATTTTCTTTATAGAAGTCCTTCACCTCCTTTGTTAGGTATATTCCTAGGTATTTCTTTTTCTTTGAAGCTATGGTGAAGGGAGTTGTGTCCTTAATTAGCCTCTCATCTTGGCTGTTATTGCCATATACAAAGGCTACTGACTTGTGGACATTGATTTTATATCCGGAGACATTCCTGTATTTTTTGACTCCAGGAAGTCTTGTAGTTGAGTCTTTGGGGTTCTCTAAGTATAAGATCATATCATCAGCAAAGAGGGAGAGTTTGACCTCCTCTGCTCCTATTTGGATGCCCTTTATTTCCTTGTCTTACCTAATTGTATTGGGTAGAACTTTCAGCACTATGTTGAATAGTCATGGTGACAGAGGACAACCTTGTCTGGTTCCAGTTCTGAGAGGAAAAGCTTTCCATTTTACTCCATTCAGTAAAATACTAGCCATGGGTTTGTCATAGATAGCTTCTGTCAGTTTAAGAAATGTGCCACGTATGCCTGTACTCTTCAGTGTTCTAATTAGAAAAGGATGCTGGATTTTATTGAATGCTTTTTCTGCATCTCTTGAGAGGATCATGTAGTTTTTGTTTTTGCTTCTGTTAATAGGATGGATAATGTTTATGGACTTGTGCATGTTAAACCAGCCTTGAATCCCTGGGATGAAATCTACTTGATCATGATGTATGACTGTTTTGATGATCCTATTGGCTAGGATTTATTTGAGAATTTTTGCATCTATATTCATTAGTGAAATTGGCCTGAAATTCTCCCTTTTGGTTGGGTCTTTTCCACATCAGGATATTTTTTTAGTTGCATTATCAGTCAAGGCAAAAGGTTAAAAAGAAACAATGTTCGGGCAGAACCTGTGGCGCTGGCCTCATGTACAGATTGTGGCAGGGTTGAACCCGGCCCCAGCCACCTAAAACAGCAGTGGCAACTGCAACAAAAATAGCTGGGTGTTGTGGCAGGCACCTGTAGTCCCAGCTACTCAGGATACTGAGGCAAGAGAATTGCTTAAGCCCAAGAGCTGGAGGTTGCTATGAGCTGTGACGCCACAGCACTCTACTGAGGGCAACAAAGTGAGACTCTGTCTCTAAAAAAAAGAAAGAGAAACTGAATGTCGAAGAGAACGCTGTTTAATTTATGGCACACATGTAATGGAATGAACATCTCACAGCCATTAGAAAGAGCAAGCAGGGCTCAGTGCCTATAGCATAGTGGTTACGGCACTGGCCACATACACCGAGGCTGACAGGTTTGAACCTGGCTGTGGCCAGCTAAACAGCAATGACAACTGCAACAACAACAAAAAATAGCCGGGTATTGCAGTGGACGCCTTTAGTCCCAGCTACTTGGGAGGCTGAGGCAAGAGAATCACTGAAGCCCAAGAGTTTGAGGTTACTGTGAGCTGTGACGCTACAGCACTCTACTGAGGGCGACATAATGAGACTATGTCTCAAAAAAACAAAACAAAACCAAGAAGCTCTAAAGTAGTGACATCTGTAAAATTAAGTGAAAAGTACTGGGGGAAAGTTAAATGTATATAGTATAAGTGTGCCTTTACATAGAGCAGACTGTCCCTGAAAGTACAGAGGGCCTACAGTGCTTGGCTGAGGAGGGCATTGACACCAGAGGCTGGGCCAGGCTGACTCCATTCTTCTGTTGTGTCTTGAGATGTGTACCTTGCAAATATATCACCTAATTTTTAAAAAAAATCATTTACTAAAAAAGCCTGTATTCTAAATGTACCACTAAAAATAGGCAGGTATTTAAAAGAGTATTGCCTAATCAAGTGATCCCTTACCCAGAATCGAACACTATTCATAAAAAACATTTTTTCAGTGATCAAAAAAGTTAATAGTGCTTACTGCACCAGCACTTCCGCCAGAATGGGAGTGTTTAAGAGATTAGCACGGCCCCTGTCCTGTGTTAGGATGAAGCATTAAAAACACTAAAAATTGACTTCCAGTGATGATTGTGATCATGTAAGAGTGCTTTTGAAAAATATGTATTAAACAATACACATATAATGTTAAGTGGAAGTAAAAAGCCTTAAGAATGTTTTTACTTACTCTATTTAAGTAAATCTATAAATATACATTTAGAAGAAATGTAAAAAAAATTAAAAGTGTTTATTTCTAAAGTGGTTACAGGTTTTTGTCTGAGAGTTCCAAATGTGTGGCATACTAAGAACATATGGTTTTTTTTTTTTTTTTTT